AATAGGGATTTCTAAGTTAGGGTTCAACCTGCCACCATACTAGAGAACACTGGGAGCTGGGACTAAGACTCCCAGAGACAAATAAGTGGTCTCCTTTACCACTTGCCCTTGATTCCAGGATTTCCATCCCAGCACTGTCAGTCAGGGTTTTTAATTTTGAGAAATAGAAAATATCAACGAATTAGATCACATCCCTTGTAAAGTCAGTTAAAAACATACTTAAATTAAGTCAGTGCAGCCAAGTTCTCACAATGTAAACAATAAGCTGAAATGGCCATAAGTAATAAAGTAATAAAATGAATTTTCATGTAATGGAAAGGGTATCTTCTTCTCTACTGAAATTATTCTCCCTACTCTTTTCCTAGTGCAATACTCATTTGTGCTCTGTTTTGCACTAAGCTCTAACAAGAAGATGCTCCTTTAGAAGAGGCAGGTTCTTTATTCTTCCAATTTAAGATGTTATGCAGAAGGAGATTTTGGCTTTTCAGAGTGTAGCTACTGGTCCAGCTATTAATTCAGCATATTTGTGATGATACCTGGGCCAGAATGTGCTCTGCTGTGTAGACCTGAATCTTCAGATCCAAAGTTTGCATTTTGATCAGTTCCACACATGGTTTTGGACCCTCTGGCCTTAAACACCAGACATGAGCTAGAAGGTGGTAAAGGACAGCATACTATAGTAGTTGTCATTTTTCTAGCGACAGAGAAGTGAATTATAAAAGTAATGTGAAATTAGATGGAATAGCAAAAAAGAAAAGGAAAACACACATTTTTATCTATTGGCTCCCACTCAAGATTTTCCAAGAATAACTTTAAAAGCAACCTTTAGTTTCTTCTTGTGTAAAGGGGCTTGTGTGGGAGCCTAGGAGAGACCAACAGTCTAATTAAGACATAATTTTACTCATTTGGTTAAACAGTTGTGTCTGGCTATGAAACCAGTTTGTTTTAAACTAGTTTGGCTGGAATGAATTAAGACTGAAAGAACTCTCAATCGTAAAGCAGATTTTAAAATGCCACAACCACATGTAAACTCTCAATCCAGTTCAAGTTCATTTAGGTGGTTCCTGTTTCTACAGATATGGCATCAAGGATCATGCAACCACAGCCTAGGAATCAATTCAGATAGAAATTAAAAAAAAAAAAAAATTGTCGTTTTTCTCAAGATTATCTTGCGATCATGTAAAAGACAAATTGCCAATCAAGGGGCCAGTTCAGAAAGCAGGCAGGCATACCCCAGCAGTGATATGGTGTTAAACTGCAGGTAAAGCACGTAGATATATTCTGTTTTCCGAGTCTATGTGCATGTGCTCTTTGCTAAAGATTTCCTACAGCAAATAATAGAGAGAATCAAAGAAGGTATGTTATTTTCTTTCCTCATTTCATCTCTGTTTGAGCATTGAAATACTAACCATCTCTGTAGGCAACTGAAGAGTTTTTAGCAAAACAATTTTTGCAAAGGCCTTTTTGTCACCAAAATTCACCATTTCAAAAACAAATTTGATTGATATGCAATATTTTAAAATTTTGATTAAACTCAGGAAGCATCAAAAGATTCTCCTTTTTGTGAATGAAGAAGACTGCTCGAAAGCATGGGAAATTTGCAGTTTCCATTACAAATTGTTGTGAAGATTTAAGGAGCAAGAAACCATGTAAGTGCAGGGAAAAAGGAAATTGCAGCATATTCCATGCAGTTCCAGTTCGGAATGCCACAAGGCTTAGACTGGAAACTGTAAAAATAGGCTCAGATTAGAAACCCATTTCAATTTTCTCTTCTAATGCTGTGCTTGGCAGTGTAAGGGCCTGAAATCGTGACAGATTAGGCACTTTGGCAGGTTTTTAAAATGTCTCAGAGACAGATTTGCCTGGTTCCACCCACCTCAGTAGACGCTGGCAATCCTTGAGGCAGCTTTTACAGTTTTGCATTAGTCTTTTCTCTGTCTCTCTAAACAAATACGGTGTGTGGCTGTCACTGCAGGGGAAGATGAAGTAAATGACAAACACTGAGTGTCAGCAATGGTCAAAAGTTGGAGGCAGCAAAGACTTGGAACAGCTTCAGGTGTGCAGCACAGAGGGCAGTGAGGAAAAGAGCTTTGTCAGGTAGGGAAACCCTGAGCTAACCACTCTGCAAAAGAGAGCAAAGGACCTGCTGCTGTAGAGGAACACCGTGGGCAAGAAGAAAGTGGGTCATGCCTGGTGCTTGTATATTTAAAGGTTAAAAAATTTTCACTGAGTGTTGAGGCAGCAGCTGGGACTTACAGAAGCGCTGCATTCCTTTAAGTGAGGATGGCAAAGAGGGGATAAAAGAGTGGTGGTGTTTACATTGCTTTTGAACCAAGCAGACTCTGTCCTAATGTGCAGGCTGTTCCTCTGCTGCCTGATGATACACATCATCATCCTGTGGCAAGGACCAGGGACTAAGATGTACTGAATCTCATGTCATTGTAGATTTCCTTGTCATCAGTGATCACCCTGCAGCAGGCTACTTTGGTATATTACTACATTCAACCTTCTCAAATTACTTTAAAGCCCTTGCTCTGATCTCCAGGGTCCCCCTGATTTGGGAGAGAACAGAGCTGACAACACCTGTCCAGTGAACTGTGGGTTTCTCACTTCCCAAGGTGTCTTCTGCCAAAAAATCCTGGTGAACCATAGCTATCATATGAAAATCCTGATGCTGTTCTTCCAGGTGGTTAATTTACCAACCAGCTCAATCTGAGCTTAGTTTAGGCTGTTGGCTATAATTAACCTTGAATTTTTGGAAGTTAATAACCGCAAACTTCTTCTTTCCCAAAATGGAAAGGCAGGGGGTCTTTCAGAGGTCTTACACCTTGCTTCAAAGCTGGTGTAAGCTCTTCAAAGCTCTCCTCCTTACGGGAGGAGATAAACAGGTGTGTGGGCTTTTCAGCTTCCCTGGAATGTTCAGAGAAGGGGTAGGGGGTTTCTTTCCCTGTCCCATCACTGAGTGATGAATATTTTCAATAGTGGCTTTAATTAAAAAGTGTCAGGCCTTACAATAAATGCCTACCAGGCCCCTGCTGCGATTGTCTAGCAGTAAAGGGGGAGATCAAGCCCAACAGCCCTCAAACATTTGACTTACTAAAAGCTGCCCCTCCTTTTCCTCAGTGCTCTCTCCTCCCTTACTCCAGATGACACATTTCTGCTAAAAGGCATCCAGAACTGCCCCAAAATACAAGTCCACTCAGCCAACCTCAGCTGTACTTGAAGCGTGAGTGGACAGGCTCCCTGTTTTAACACATGGGGTGTTTCATACTCCACTAAATCCACTTGTGCTTCATCTCAGCTTAAACAATTCTGCTTTCCAAAAATGTTGGATCTGAAGGGTAGAGGTTAGATAAGAAAAATACCATAAAGGAGATTTAATGCTTGATATAAAAATGCTAGGGTGCTAGAGCAATTCCAAATTTATATTTAATATATAAATAATTAAGGCCCTCATACCAGTCTCCAGGCACAAATGAAGGATGCAAAATGAGCCTTTGCTTTAGTTGCCAGACACAGGACTGAGAAAAATGGAAAAGTCATCCCCACCCATCCTTAGACACTTTGCATTTACTTAAGAGCAACAGTTGTAATAAAAGAGAAATTTTTGTAAGAAATGATCCTCCTCACAAGAAGCATGAGCTGAAAATGCCCTTATGCTATCCATGAATTTCCACCATTCTTCCCACACCCGAGAGCACCCATAGGACCAGGGGCTGAGGAGCATCCCTGAATCCAGCAGGGCCAAGATGGAGTCACTGCCAGCCTCAGGAGCCCCAGACAATCCCTATGAATGCAGCTCCAGCAGCAGAGTGGCTAGAAGGCAAACTGAATTTTAATTTCTTTTTTTTTTTTTGCTGTGTCATTTTTCATAGCACAGCAGGGCCTCAGGATGAAGGTGCTGTCCCTGGAAGAAGAGCAAACCTCCTCCCAGCCCTGTTGTGAAATGCTGGCAGAGGAACAGCTGAACATCTGAAATCTTCAAGGCTCCAGAGACTTTAAATAAGGATTGAAATTGTTAATTTTCATGAGTTTCAAAAAAAACAACGAAAAACCAAACATAATTTTAATTATGTTTACTAGGGTTAAAGTTAAGACAGTCCCCTAAGAGTTTTCAGCGGCAGACTAGGGGAGTTGGTGGGATTTCTTTAGCCCCTGGAAGGCTACAGTTTTCTCCAGGCCGAAGGTGTAGGGAGGAGGATGTCTCCCTGTGCTCTGCCCTCGTGAGGCCCCGTCTGGAGTGCTGTGTCCAGATGTGGGGACAAGCACAGGCCTGGTGGAGCAGGGCCAGAGGAAGCCCCAGAGGGCTGGAGCTCCTTTCCTCCACAACCAGGCCAGGAGAGCTGGGCCTTTCCAGCCTGGAGACGAGCGGGCTCCAGGGAGGACTCATTGGGGAATTCCAGTGCCTAAAGGAGGCCTGTAGGAAAAGCAGGATGATTTATTACATGGGCAGAGACTGATAGGAGAAGGGAGGACGCTTTTCAACTAAAAGAGACGTGACTGAGACCAGATATTAGGAAGAAGTCTGGGGATGTTGAGACTCTGGAACAGGCTGCCCAGAGAAGCTGCGGATGCCTCGTTCCTGGAAGGCCCTGTTCTAGGACAGGACCTTGAGCACCCTGATCCAGTGGATGGCATTCCTGCTCATGGCAGGGGGTTGGAACTAGACGGCTTTTAAGGTCCCTTCCAAGCCAAGGCATTCTGGAACTCCATGAAGGTGCAAAGAGAACTTTGGAATGACATGGAACATGGAAGAACGTTACCAAACAGTTGCCAAGGGCTCAGTAGACCAGGAGTTGAGTCAGCTGACAGATTCTCTGCTGGGCAGCAGATGCGCAGCATCCGCCTTCTCCGTCCTTCTCCATCCCAGGAGGGAATAGAAGGCAATTTGCTGATATTTGCTTTACTTTTCTGATAGGTTTGGAAGGACATCATTCTCTAGCCCTGAGAAATCAGGACTTTGTAGCATTGTGCTACATAAAGGAATGTAAGGGTTGGTCACCGTTGCTTCCCTGACATTCCTTTTTTGGTGTTGTCCTGTCTACTTTTTCAGTGATTTTAGATCAGAAAACACCATGAGCACAGTAAGTACCTTATTACTCAATGTAAATATGATTCTTGAAACATGTTTTCCAGGGTACTTCCAGAAAGAATTTCAACAGTCCGTAGCAAATGCATACTAACAGAAAACTATTTAAACTTCATGTAACTGCTTTTTTGGGGATGCTAAAGATTTTGAATCTGGGTGCTTGCAATAGTTCAGAAATGCTTACAGTGCGAGAAACAACCTAATGAATTGTGAACTAGTGTCATTTGCAAGCCATCAGGATAGGCTTTTTCTTGGTGAGGCAACTGGTAAGAGATCAGGTGGAATGTTTTTTCCTTCTTGCAATGGGCTCAGGTAGGAATGGCCCCTAGCACATTTTGATGCATATTCCATCCTCTGTGGAATTGTTTTCTGTATCCTCATGTGTTTTCATCGGTCTTGCAAAAATGAGGGCCATGTCGATATTACTCCCACACAAAATGCTACGGTTTTGTTCTCTCTCAGCGCTGGCGAAAGCGCCGTGGACAAGCTATCAATTCCAAACGAGCTCAGAAACGAAGCAAGCTACTGGCTTCCAGTGCAGGTGGAACCTCAGAAGCCCAGCCAGTAGACCTTGAAGAAACTGGTACACTTTATTTTGAGCTTGGTAAGAACAGAAACAGCTTTTGGAGGGTTGTTGGTGGTGTTACTGAGCTGCAATAAATTCACCACTAGTGGGAGATAATCTGTATAGCAAAGGTTGTCAAGTACTCCTCAAACATCTGAATGCCTACTCTGCTGAGCTGGCAGTTCTGACAGCTGCCACTCCAGATGGTAGCAAACTAAGTTTGGAATCACCAAGTTGGAAGGAGATAAAGAAAAGTCTATTATTAGCTATGCCCTGTCCCTCTAGGGAACATGTACAGCACAGTACTATAACATTAGGAGACCCTCTCTGATTCCGGTTTTACTGTTGGTGTTTTGGTTTTGGTTTTGTTGTTGTGTTGTTTTGGGGTTTTTTTTCTGTGTGATAAACATTCCCCTATGTTAGTTGGATCATCTGTCGGTGTGTAACTCCCACAAGCTGTTGTCATGCAACAGAATTGTGTGAGGAGCTCAGCCGCCGTTTCTCTTGTGCTGCCACTTGTGGAAGACAGGGCTGGTAATGGTCCCTGTGGACTGCTGAGGGCAAAGCTTGAGGGAAATGTTGGACACGTGCCGGAAGAGAAGGGCATAATTCAATCCTACCTCAGCCTGTTCCACAGTGACAGCCCATTTCATTCCTCTGCAATCTCTGATCTTGATTCTAATGTTCTGTTTTTCAGCTGTTGAAGAAATCATAGATTTCACAGGCGAATATTCTGGGCTTGAAGTTGCTAATATAACTGGTGATGATTCTGTTGTGGTAAGCAGTGACTAGGACAGTTCTCTCAATCTTGTAGTCAACTTAGTTTTCTCATGTGGTCCCAGACCTGTCTTCTGCCATCTAAGTAGCCTGACCCCCAGGATTGAAATACGCCCCTATTTACCACTTTAGACAGAGTTCCCAGTCAACCTCAAATACACCCATTAGCACATCAGCATCTCTGAGTACCACTTGCAGAGGGTGGAAGGGTAATCTAAAAGAGCTTGTTACCCCAGTGATTTAAAGAAAAAAACAAAGGAAAGGACAAGAAGTCATTGACTTCCCAAATGTGAAGTGTTTGGCTGCAACATTGGTTTAAAGTACTGCTCTCATTGAGATGCCAAGCAAAACTGTAGCTGACAGGGGTAAAAACTTGTTCTGTTTACTACTCTAAGAAGTCAGTTTAAAAGTCTTTTTTTTGTTACCCTGCTATTTTGAAAGACCAGTCTTTGATCCAGGCCACAGAGTAGTTTCTCCACTCAATTTTGGGATGTCACTGCTGCCAGGCAAAGAGGCATAGGAAAGGGCATATTTCCTGATAGGATTGTTCCTGAGCTTTTAAAGAGAAGGCCTCAAACTTTACAGTAGCACCTGCATGACTCGTATACAGTTTCACCAAAAAAAGAGAGCAGATTTCAGTTTAGGGTTTCTTTCTTCAGCAGCTGTTCATCTAACACATAGTTGTTGTTAAAGGCTATCACAGCTGAATTTTTCTGTTTATGGCAGAAAGGGGAAAGATTCACCCGTAGACAAAATCCAGTTAGGGAACTGGAACAGGGGAGCAGGGAGGAGGGGCTTCATTCAGATGGTTCCTAAGCTGCCTCCATTTCTTCCTTTTCCCAGCAGCGGGAGCACAATGAGAAGCACCCACTTGTTTCCGAAGCAGCAGATGAAAACTCAACAGTGCTGCCGGCGAGGGACAATGAAGAAGTACCAGCAAATGATGATGACTGTGTTACAGAAAAAGTGTCTTTCTAAATCTAATACCTGACATATGGTTAAAACAGCTGTTTGCCAAGCTTTTGGGTTCCCCTTGATTCTGTGAAAAAACTTCAGACCTGGAATATAGTGGCCTGACTGAAAGAGAACTAATTTTAATTAAAAAATAGACTAAAATAAAGAAAACAGAGCAAATATAAATAAAATCTTTGATTTAAATACCTCAAGTTTGTCTGCTCATCTATGTTGGGCTCTGTGGAGACTTCTTTTAATGGATGGAAATAACAGTCTTGGTTGGATCAGTCAGAAGCACTTGTTCTTTTCATCACACTGAATTCATTGATTTGGGCAGGGGAAATATTAAAGGTATAAGCTTTGTAGTTCTTGTGGCCAGGTTGTGTTTTATGGGGAAAAGGAAATAGGCTTGAGGCATGAGGGTTTCTTTTTCTCGGGACAGACTCAGGTAGATGTTTTGGTGCAAATGTCCTGATATCGGTGCCCTGAAGGCTGAAAGAGCAGAAGGCTGTGCACACATCCAAAGAAAACTATCTTCTTTCAGAATAACCTGTACATATCTAGACAACTTGTTTACGGTTCAAGCTGCTTCTTATTATGCCCCTAGTTATGATGTTCCTCTGATGACTGCCAGCTGATGACAGGAGCACTACCAGCTTCTATGAAGCTCTGCCCCTTCTAAAAAGCCTGTAAGCTTAAGGGCAGTCGCAAGAATACAGCAGTGCAAAGTGCTGTGTTCAACATTTATCCTGCAAAATAGGAGACACTTTAAGTAGTGAGGTAAAGACCTAAAGCAACCGCCGGGGAGCGCACCACCACCATGATCATTACTATCGCTGTCATCTTCGTCACCATCACCGTTTACCTTTCCCACTGCAGTGTATCTGCAGCTTTCATGGGGCACATATTGTTTGCTCCTTGCTTAGAAAGTGAATTCATATTGAAGTGCATGAGATGTTGCCCTGAACAGGACTAAGGCAGTATGTTTGTTAGACCCTGACTGAAATTGTATTCAAACTAACAGGCAGTCTTTAGTTGACTTTCAGGGCCATGCAGTTGGGTGGTGCATGTAGTATGAGAAGCATCCTCAGCTACTGCGACTTAAAGTCACTGCAGGTGCTTAAAGTCAATTGGGCTGTGCCAGCTTGTGCCAATAAATTCTTCTCTTTGTGTGGAGATACAGGAATAAAATGCCTTACGCATAGAGAGAGCTTGTAAGGGCACATGGGAAAATAACTGGAACTGTGAGAAGACAGTAAATAATTTCAGCAACATTTCACGGGGAAATAGAAAATAATACCTCCAGCTGATTACTTTCAAGCAATTGCATGCTGGCCTCTGAAAAGGTGGGATATTATTCTTTGAAGTCCTTTGCTAGTGCTATTGCACCCACTATATGCACAGCAAGTATTAGAATAGATATTTGAGAGAGTAGTTTAAAACTGGCTAACTCAAAGTTTTTCTATAAACCCTAAGAAGTTTCTCCCTTTATCTGGAGCTAACATCTGTTCAAAATTCAGATACTGATATCTAAATAACTCTTTAACATCCTGTCATTCCTACTGGGGAAAAGTCAAATCACTTTGCATGAAAACCGTATCTGCTAAGTAATAATGTTCACAAGGAAACCCAGCCCATTTTCACTCAAGGCAGCATCTATTTTGGGTATTCACATTTCCTAATGATAGTCTAACACACCCACTTCACCCAACCAGGGGCTGAATCCTTGTGAGACTCTTACTCAGGTAAAGCACCTACTGAACTTAAAAAAGCAAGCAAACAAACAAACAAACAACAAACCTCTAGGAATTTCTGGGAATCTGCAGGGCCTTCTAGGAGGGGCTCAAAACTCACCCCAGTGACTATGAGGGACACAAGTACAGCCATGATAGAGCATTTGGGATCACAGAGCCTGATTTAAGACAGTGGTGGCTTTCCTCTGTCAGGGAAAGGGATGTGCTGCACTTTTGCTGGCACCGCTAATGCTGAGTCTATGGGAGGAGATACATCTTCTAACATGGCCCAGTTGATCACACATGCAGTGTGATAAGTTCCTGAACGCCAGCAGGACAAAAACAGTGCATAAACAAAGCAGTCTGACACCTGCCTTACTGTTCTTTGTATTAGCAAACCAGTGTAACTTGGGGTCAGAGCAGATCACAGCAGGGAGAGAGCCACAAGAGCAGCAATGACTTCCTCTCTTGCTCAGGCAAACTACGCAGGCACAGCTTGGTTCTGATCTCGGTTGCTGACACGCTGGTCTAAATACACCTCGTAAGGATTCCTTTAGCTTCCCAGTTGGCACATGAGTGGTGTCCCACGGTGAGGAGCTGGCAGAGGAAACTGAGGCAGATGGCTTCTCAGATCCTTCCTCATCCAAAGGGCTCCAAGTCCTTGTGCTTCTCTGGAAATCTGTCTGCATTTCCATTCCCCACCAGGGAATAAAGAAGAACATGACATCTACCACTTTATTCTCCCATAGCTGTGTCCCCTGACAGCTAAAGTCTAAAGGCAAAGCCCTTTCCTTTATCCCGCACGAAAGGGAAATGTGTGCTCAGGCCTCCTTCAGCACCAGCGTGTCTTGTTTCCAGCTCACACCTTCCCACTCATTTTACTCCAGCCTTTCCACTGCTTTTCCAGCTTTGTATAAACACTTCAAAACCTGTCTCATCTCCATACTCCAAGTGCACAGCAATGCCAGGACTGGCCAGGGTTAGCAGCAGGAAGTTTCAAGTCCTGCACCAGATGGCTGAGAGAGTCTAGCAGCTCCTAACAGTGGGAGAGGCAGAGGAGTGACAGCCTAAGGCTGGCAATAAGGAAACATTTTTTTGCTCCACAGCACACTTGTCTCAGCATTTGCAGAGTTGCTAGGCCATACAGTACGCTGTCAGGAGAACCAAGCTGCAGGGAGGGAAGTGGGAAGCACCCCTTCAGACTATGGGCTGGCTTCTTGCAGGGAATTTTTTCTTCTTTTCTTTCCACTGCTTGCCTTGCTTTAATGCTGGCTGCTGTTGAAGCAAGAGCTTTATGAAGGCACATTGCTGGTTCTTCATATATATTACTGAGATAAAGAGTGCCAGAATTAAGTGACTGAAAATGAACTCTGGTTCTGTTTTTTGAGGGTATTTTTGTTTGTTTTTTGTTTGGGTTTTTTGGTTGTTGTTGGGTGTTGTGTTTTGTTGTTTTCTTTTGTTTGTTTGTTTGTTTGTTTGTTGTTTGGTTTGGTTTTGTTTTTTTGCTTGCTCTTTTTATTTTATTATGGGCTACTTTTGAGTTGGGGCATTTTTCTAAACTCTAGGAAATGGTCTTGCCCAGGGCAGTCATTTTTTACCTTCCATTAGAACAACTGCCAAAAGGGGGTAGCTGCTTATACTCTCTATTTATTCAACCTTCAAAGCCCTTAAACTGCTCCATCTCCTGCCTTATGAGACAAACTCCAGCCTGTCCACACTGCTTGAGGGTGACCTCAATTATATTAAAAGCAGACCATGGTATTCTGGAGGCACTTGCTCCCCACACCACAAAGCCACAGTAGAACATCAACCCTTTGGTCGACATAGGAAAGGTGTGTGCACACTGCAGAACGTATAGAAAACTGAACCAGGTGAGATCCTTGCTGGCAACTCGTTAACTGCAGAAGCTCTGTGCTTCTGGCTACATGGCACCAAGAAGGGTGTGTGACTTGGCACTGTCTGGGTGCTGCTTGTTCAGGGCAACCTGGCTGTCTCCCTCCCCTCTCTACTGCAGCGATGCAGTGTGGATGTACCTTTGGAGGTTGTTCCCAACTTCAAGTGTTTAAAATCACATCAGACATAGAGAAGGAGAAGTAGAATTTGCCTGCCTCTGCAGCTAATCCAGCTGCACCTGGGTAAGGTTGTGTCTCAGCCTGCTGCAGAGCTAGAAATGAAAAGTCAGGTTTCTGAGTCTTGGCTGGTCACTGCATTTGACCAGAAGGATGAAGAACCCTGAGAATGCCAAAGCTTTACCTCACAAGGCTGACAAAGACTGCACAACACAGAAATGGTCTCCCAGTATGTTCATAAGCACCTACTGCCATAAATGAAAGTTATTCTTTCCTGCAGCAGATCCTATCAATCTGACAATGCATGTAACCAGATTTAATTTATACTTCCAAGTAAACTAGCATTTAGAACAATTTACATGTATTTTTTTTATTGGTTTTGCAACCCAAATGTGGATTGAGCACAGATTACGCAGCACTTCAAATAAACAGGCTCTCTGCCCCAAGACAAATTCACCAAAGTGACTGAGACCTACATAATTCAACCGATCTCCTGGGAGAACTGGAGATGTGTTCAGCTCAAGATGTGTAGTGCTGTGGCAATAACGTTAGTGGCTCCAAGCTGAAAAGGTAAACAATATGACAAAACACTTTGGGATAAGCATTAATCAAAACCTCAGGGAACCTGGGGCAGGTTCAGAGCAGGATCCACACTCTGTATGTTAGACCCCTTCTGTCAGCCTTGGCGCTGCTCCCATATAGCCATATTGTGGTATTACAGATCCTCTGACGAGGGATGGATGTTATGCAAGCACAGCCAGGAAGAACACTGCTCCCTACCCAAATAATCATGCAATTCATGATTTTCCTTTAAAGCTTGCCACTACATTCCTGTCTCCAGCGTAAAAGTGCCTTTTATGCTGAGCCTCCCCAGTTCAGGATTGATTTTTCACCATTCCAGCCTCCTTTGCTACCAGGATTTCTCAGCCTGCAAAACATAACTATGCTAAGATAACTATTCCCAGAGGGAACACCTTCAGTCTCTGACTGTGTAGTGCAGGTAGCATGGGAGGCTCAGCATACTGGCTAAGCAAGCATACTCTTGGCATGAAAAGAAGACGTACTTCTCCCTAGTAGAGCAGCCAGGAAAACCAAAGGTATGGAGCTCCACAGAAGTTTGTAGAAGCAAATGCGGTGTTCACAA